CGAATCAGGTATATTTTCGGCTTGCCTTTGTTCCCGAGCGCGACGACGGTAGCGGTAAACTATAAAGTAATCGGTCGAGCAGCGATGTTATTCTTTAGACAAGGACAGAACATAGCATGCTTTCTCTTTTTAATAGTAGTAAATTTTCGTGAATGGAATAATATACCAGATTCGTAACAAGCAACTGCCCAAACCCGAGCGAGTGGCTTATTACCAGTAGCTTATTACGAATCGATGTAGAATCAGATGAATCGAACACGCTGCAATTCCTAATTTGTCACACTTTGCCTTATCTTTTTACAATTATGTGAATATAGGAGAGAAACACACACACACACGGCACACTCTCACTTGTATATAGTACAATATACAACAATATACATACAATATACATACAATATACATACGTACAATATACATACTCTCACTCGTACTTGCCCCAGTGGCGAAGGGGTCCGCTTGGGCGGAGGAGTGGGGCTGACAATTCGGGTGGATCCTCTAATCAACTAAATGAAAATATGCCTCGTTACAGTCGTTATAGTTTTTAGCTTGATTTTTATTGTTACTTTTTATTCGTGTTTTAATTATTGTAGAACAATCCGTATACATTTTAACTATTAATTCTATGATAGGCTCTGGAATACCTTTTTTAACTAAACTTGGTTTTATTGCCGAATGTGGGATCGTATCGAAGGCTTTGGATATATCCAATATTATGAAAGTACCGTCTGTTTTAATCTTACTTCTCGCTAAAACTATTTAATAAAGTTACTATGCGGTATTTCGCGGCTAGCTCGATGGTGGCCCGCGATCCCGCCCCGCCCGCGAATTCTCGAAACGGCCCTTTCGACCTGATCCGCGACTACGACCGTCGCGGCGCCTCCGCGGATTCACGGACGAGTAGCACTTCGGCGCCCGATTCGAATCTGATCGATACCGCTTTGATTTATTAATTAATTGGGCGCCAGATGCGTTTCCGCGTCGCGATAAAGAACCTTAACGCGAGAGACTCGAACCGGCGTGGTGGTGTGATTCTTACAGGGTAAGGAGGCTAGACGCGGAGGCGGATTTGATAGAATATTCCGGGATAATTCGTAAGAGACCTCGACTCAGCAGTATTTAGTAAAAGCAGCGCTGTTTATTGTAAATCTAATTAATCTAGGCGATGAACAGTACGCTTCCGTATCGCGACAATCAACTCGTCCGTTAATACTTAGCAAATGACCGATGTTCGAGATTCTATTCCCGTAAATGGGGTAATGCCAATTCCTAAGCGCGATACAGTCGTCGATTTTCGGAATAATACTCGACGCAATTACCTCTACGCAATTATAATGACTAACGAAACGCGACGCAATTATTCTACCGCAATATAACGCGACGAAACGCAAAGATCCTAACGCAATATAACGCGACGAAACGCAAAGATCCTAACGCAATATAACGCGACGAAACGCAAAGATCCTAACGCAATATAACGCGAGCTAACGCAATTAACTAGATGCGACGCTATTTATTCTTATACGCGAATTGATTCTGTATCGACGACCGTCTAGAGAGAGAAGGCGAGAACTAGCGCGACAAACGAAATGTCCGATACGACAAAACATGCACTTTCCGATCTGCTCCCGCGTAAATGAGAATTCGAAATCAAGACGTGGGTGGGCACAAAATTTGCTTTGCTTTCGCGAGACTAAGAAACTAAATTGTGGCTAACGCGGTACCAATCCCCCGGTCCGTTTCAGTGACCTGCCGAGTGTGGCTTATAGGAAGATCGAGAAGCGATTTTCCTATCTCACGATACTTCCGGATTTTCCGCAATTATCGAGTGTGGCTTATAGGAAGATCGCTTCTCGATCTTCCTATCTCATGATACTTCCGGATTTTCCGCAATTACTTAACCTAATTACTAACTAACGATCAATGTCGACACCCCGGCCACATTTTGCAGAATCGGCCGGTGATTGGCACACTCGGTGATCGACAACCCACGGTACGTTATTCTCGATTTCGAATTCTTTACACCGACATAAGGTGAGGGGCTTACCGAGATGTCCGGGACTAGGCGACTATTGGCAAGCGGCAGCGGTAGATCTTGCGATGAAACTCTAACTATTTCGGAAAACACGTACGGGGCAAATGCCGAATACAGAATGCTAAACCGCGTGCCCTTATGCCGGTATTCGGACACCTCGTGATCACCCCCACCCTAGGCCGAAGTCTCCGTCTTCTCGCTGATAGGGCAAAGAGTCCTGGGGTAGCAGCGGCAGGTACGATGTCCAAAAAAAACTCTGATTACTTGGCACACGACAGGGCAGATGCCGAATACAGAATGCTAAACCGCGTGCCCTTATGCCGATATTCGGACACCTCGTGATCACCCCCACCCTAGGCCGAAGTTTCCGTCTTCTCGCGAAGGCATCTTCGGCAGGACCTCCTCTTGCTCCGCGACCTCTCTTCCTCTATCGCAGGTCCTTAGCGGGGAAGCGTCTCTCGTCCTCTATCGCAGGTCCTTAGCGGGGGAGCGGCAGGGTAGCGGAACCTTCCTTAGGCGTACGTCGCTCTCTCGCAGACCTTCTTTCTCTTACTCCGCTGCCTCTCTTGGTCTATTGCTGGATCCGAGCGGGGTAGCGGCAGGGTAGCGGGGCGTTCCCTCGACGTACGTTGTTCCTTCGCTGGTGATGACGTCGTTAATGATGTCGTTATCCGATGGTACATACAAAATAAAGCGGCGACAGATTCCGATCGTACTATATTTTCTATGCGCTTCGTTCTCTCTCTAGACGGTTTTTGCCCCTAATGCAATGACTGTCCGGTCCCCCGAGGAGGATCCTTGTGACGGGTATAAAATACCACGTCACACATTATATTAATTAGTATAAATATATATATAATAGTTTATGTAAAACCTTTTTGCCTAAAATTTTGAACAATTACATTTCTTAGCCTAGAATCAATAATTGATGAAAAAATCCTACTTAATACAGAACTAATGGTAATGGGCCTCCAATTACTCACCATGCTTGTATCTTTATTTCTTTTGGGTATTAATGTAGTGCGATTCTCTTTCCACGTTGAGGGGTAGTGGAGGCTTAACATAAAATATTATATAATGTATTTAATATTAGCTCAACGCCAGGTATTAGCAGGTGCCTTTTTTGTAATCCATCAGGACCGGTCGCAGATTTATTTTTGAGTTTTTTAATCCGGCGAATTATCTCAGAAGAATCGATTGGCGGGAATATATCGTTTAAATTTAACTGTGGAACATTTTGATTGAACACCGGAACCGCTGAAGGACCGGGTTTACCCCATAAGTTTTTGTATAATTCTTCGATTTGATTGACAGGTGGTAATTCCTTTGGTGGTTCCCAAAGCGAATTATCATGATTGGTTATGGCGTCCGCTAATTTTTTGGGGCATTCTTTGTACATTTCTTGACACCTAGCGTAAGAGTATCTTTTAAGTCTATTTCGCGTGTTTTTTCGGTTATTATTTATTCTTCTATTATTGTTATTTTTGTTTTTGATATTAGGATCATTTGTTTTTGATAAATTTATATTTCTTTTGTTCTTGTTATTATTATTAGTCTTGTTATTGCTGTTATCGTTATTTTCGTTCTTTTTTAGCATTAGTTAGTAAAAATTTTGTTAAAGTGCTGGACACGAAAAAATCAACTTTTTGTTTTAACTCAGTAGGACAATTTTTATGTGTGGACCAAATTTCTTTTAAATTTTTATATATTTCTGTTACTTCTGCGGGCATGTTAATCGATTTTTCTATTTCCTGACATAGTTTTTCGCGGCATAAATTATATTGATTATCGTTTGTTGGTTCGTCATTGTCATGAGCACTCAGTACGTTGGGGTTGATCGAGTTGTCGACTTCAGTCTGTAAGGAGTGGTCAGCATTTTCATTAGCGTCGAAGGAATCATTGCTAGGTTTTCTCGCATTCTTCATCACTTTCCGTTTCTTCTGTCGTATCTTTGCTCGCAACATTTTTCATATTCATTAATTTAAAGTCACGTCGTTTATTTTTTATCTGATTGGGCGTCTTACTTGGAATGTGTTTGCTTATTTCAACATTTATATACACCTATCCCCCGATTTACACTGAAGATAGGTTCCTTAGAAAACCGTGTAAATCGAAATCGTAGATTCTTATACGTAAAACCGTGTAAATCAAAAACAAACTAAAATGTGCATAATTCAGTCATTTATTTCAACGTAAAATAAAACTAAATATATCTTAAAAACATAAAAATAATTGTCTATTTATAAAATGACAAAAATATAAAGGTATATGTATGTAATTCATTTTACATATAGAAACGAGAAATATAAATTAAAAAATTTAACCAGAAATTTAGTTACTGTTATCACTTTCGTAGACTCTTAATCTTTTATTCCTGATTGGTATGATATCACTTTCATCACTCGATAGTGGTTGATGCGATTCAAGTTCGATATTAGATGAATTAGAAACAACTTCAGATGGGCGAACCTTGGTAGTGAAATCCGTAATTAACAATTGTGTTTCGATTTTGATCAAATCTTTATAGACCTCCTCATATTGAGTTAAGCGTTTATTAATATCTCGCTGAAATAGGAGAGCTCGTTCAACATTCGGGTCATTTTGTAGAAAATGATTACCCAATTTTCGCCCTAATTCAAGTCCTTCACGGATGACTTTTGCTGTGAATGCAACTGGTTCAGACTCTGCTTCATCAGGATCACTGCCACGATCATTTGTTTCATTAACCATGTCCACTAAATCATCCTCATCTAATTCTTTGTCCTCCATTAGTTCTACAATATCTGCCTCAGCAAAATCCTCGAAACCTTCTCCTCCTATTGTATGCGCCATCTCCATTATCTGAGAATATTCATGTTCCAATGGTAATCTAGAATTTTCACCTTCAACTACATCTGGCCATAATTTTTTCCAGCAGGCATTGAGCGTTGATTGCTTAATTTCGGTATATGATACTCCAATATGCTTAACACAATCTAAGATTGTAAATTTTTTCCAAGCATCCATAATTGGGAGCGATTCATCATTTTCCATTTGTTCTAAAATATACCTGAAGGTTCGCTTGATGTACTGTGCCTTAAAGGTCGAAATTATCCCTTGATCTAACGGCTGCAATAAAGAAGTCGTATT